TTTTTTTTACCTGCAAATTATTTTTTACCAAATAGATCTATTCATCCCCCTGATCAAATTCCCATATTAAGTAAACCCATTTAATCCTGCAAAAGCTATATTAAAGACTGCATTTTCTTCTTTGAACTTTGTAAAGGTATGATTAAGGGACATTTTGCACACACTGTAAATGTACAGTTCAGCTCAAAGGCATACTTTTTAGACCCACATTTATCATTAGTGTCAGAAAAGTCGACATTACTTTTTCAGAGAAAACAAAATATCAGTACTAAGCAATGACTGAAGAGGTTCAGCTTAAAGTGAAAAAGTTTCCATGTTTGTTTGTTTCTTTTTTTCCCCTCTCACTGCCAGAAAGTAATCATTAAAAAAAACACAATAATATAAATGAATTTGAGATAATGACATGAATAATGGTACCAATTATTCTTCATTTGCCTGTTACTCCATGGTTTCATTGTAACCTCATGGGGTGCTGGTGCCTTATTTTTAACATTTCAATTATGTATTCTGCTAAACAAAAGCACTCTTTCAAAACACCACAAATATGTTCTGATATATACTGCACAGTTAAGTCATTTTATTGAAATGCAAGCAGAAACGATCATCTTGTTGCACTCATCTGGTCAGCTGTCTGAAAGAAAGCAACACTTTTTCATCACTTTCAGGAAAAGGTTAATTTCGCTGCTTAAAAATATGTAACTGTCATTTTCAAATTTCCTTTCTTTCCCATTCTGATCCCCAAACTGAGATTCAGCAAGTTATATTCACCACAATAGGTACATTAATGTGATTTCTGCTGTGATTCACTGTTCGTGTTTAACAAGCAGTTGACTGGATATACATAATAAAGTGACCAAACTCAGGATTGTGAATAAGCATTGTGCCTTGACATAACATTTTTGATTTGACACTAATATTGATAATCTGACATGAATTCAAACAACATGTCTGCATGTTTCTCTCAGGGTACTCCAGCTTCCTCTCTAAATTAGTCTCTCTAAATTGCTCTAAGGTGGAAATGTATGCATGGTCTTTTATCCTGTGTGTGACCCCGTGACGGCCTGGCGACCTGTCAGGGTGAACCCAGCCTTTAGTCTAATGACTGCAGAAGATTGAACGGATGATGAATTTTTATAAATAAAACAATTTACCAAAGGGAGAAGGAAGGACTTGTGTATTTAAGAGGAATGCATCCCGTTATGATCATGCTAAACTTTCTTAGTGTTAAAAATCTTAAATCGTACTTACTACTTTTCTCTCTTTTTTGTGCCCCTCATTCTTTAGGACCCCCCATCTGAGCTTAAGCTCCTAATAACAACACCAAATCATTTCTCTCCAGAGCAAAACTATATGATTAATGTGCAACGAGCTGCGTCACCTTGACGGCATTAAATCATTGAGAAAAGACAGGAAACGTACTCTTCTTTGCTCTTGCCTCCCTCCCTCAACCCTCGGTCCCCCTTCCTCCTCCTTCTCGTCCTCCCTGCCTCTCTCACTCTCATCCCTCCTGTGCGTCTGTTCGCTGCTCAGAGCGGCGGTGTGCATGTGTCAGGGAGCCGCACCGTTCTGCGCACTGGTTCCGCCGGACATCACCGGATAACGGCGCTCGTCAACCGGGTTGGTGGTGGAGGGGGAGACTGGACCCGGACCCGGAACAGGAGCGGGAGAAGCACCGTGGCTACTTGCATAGCCCGCTCTCCGGAAACATGTCGGAGTTTTTCCTTCTCGCCTTTCTCGCCCTTTCCTCCGGATTATTTCCGTGCGCCGAGCCATCGAAGGTGTCCGACGAGGAGAACGGTAAGCCGGAGCGGAACCACGGGCAATGCGCAGTCCGATGAAACTTGGCAGCCCTAGTCTTCTGTTGGTACACTGCTTCTAAATGCTGTGTAGTTGCTGGATATTAACACGTTTTTTAAAATGCACTCATCCTGTATCCTAAACAGTTTATTATAACAAAAAAAAAAGAAAGATGCTCCTCATCCTTTAATGTCCAACGTGTCATTCTTTCCTGGAATATTTAGGATCTTTAAAATGACACGTTGCATTGTTTGATCCGAAATAGCAATGCCACCTGTATAATAAGAACTTGCTGGATGTGCATTTGGCACAGCTTTTGCTGTGTTTGAGCATTTCCAGGAACAGCCGTGAGGAGCCAGGACAGGATTCCGTAGCCTATCTGTGACTGCAGGTGCGCAGCGTAGCTATATCCTACAATGCAGCAGGTGAAGGGGGGGAAAAAAGATCCCCTAAGCCGGAGAGGATTCTTTTTGCATCCATCCGAGTCCATCCGATCCGAGTTGTAGCTTGGATCTTTGCCGTGGGATCCTTGAACATCGCACCAGAACGGATTTGATAGGACGGTGGTTTGTGCGGTCAGCTCTACAGAGCGCGGCAGAACCTAGTAGGAGCTTATTGCAGCGAGCCCCTTTTTTAGGAGCGTATTAGAACAGAATGGTGTCTGATATTTGAAGTTTGTTTGAAATAAACGGTAGCAGATCGGGGCTGTTTGTCACACATTTTACTCTCGCATGATTTATTCTTCATTATCACAGTCCCCTCAGTAAATCAAAGCTCAAGGCGCAGGACTCAAAATAAGTATCTTTACTTTTGCAATTGATAATATGATGCGCAATTAACCAGCAATGCGACGCTTTAAACTTTGTAACCAGGTTGAGTTTGGTGATAGTTATCAATGGAAATTCAGTAACAAATTGGAATTTCTACATATAACTTTCTACTCATCAAAAAGTTGAAAGGATGCAAAATAATGACAATGTGAAGTTAAACCAGCGATCTGTTTTGTATTTTATTATGAATTACTCTGTGTGATAACTGAAACTGAACAAACATGCAAAGCCAGAAATACTGACAACAGATTCCTCTTCATCAGCGCCTCTCGAACAATTTTAAGATAGCTTCTACGTGGCTTTAGCTTGTCAATGAAAAACTTGATTTAAATCGAAGATTTTACCTTCAGCATTTTGCTGCAGTTTTAAAGGCTTATTGTTGTGTAAGCCTTAAATCCAAAAACAAAGGCATGAAAAATTACACTTACCCATAAAAATGACAAAGCACCTCCCCACTTCATTTTTTTTTTTATGTGACCACAAAATGACCTTTGATGCCTACAATATGGCAGTGTGACAATCAATACCACACGCTACCCTTATATCCGTATGTTGGAACCATTTTTTTGGAGATCGAATGGCAAAAGGTCTTTATAGTTAACCTGAATAAATGATAGGTCCTGTGAAAGTAGTTTTAAAAGTACAAATGGTTATCTTTTGAATGACAGAAATCTCTTTGCTACCTAAAAGACCGTTGAGGATAATTGAGGAAATACGCAGCCAAAATCACACCAGCTTTGCGCGACATCGGCATCTATTTTTTTTTTTTTTTTTTTTTTTCAGAGCACAGTTCAATTCTGCAGCCCCCAGCTTGTGTTATCTGCCATGCTCATAGACAGCTACTTATGCTGCTTAAAACTGAAACAAGATTTATAACCCCAAAATTAAGGGCCAGTAGCATACTGCTAAGTTATTAACAATATTTAACTGCTAAGTTATTAACAATATTTAACTGCTAAGTTATTAACAATATTTAAATGAAATTAACAACCTCCAAGTATTGTAAGGGGGTGGGGAAGCAGATGTGGAGGGGCCACTAATAATCTTGGGCTGACATCTTAAAATTATAAATGCACCAATCAAGCAATGACTAATTTTCAGTTGTTGCAAATCAAATATTGAAAGATCTAATTCATTTGCTTTTGTATTATATGCATAAAACAAATAACTGCACAATCAACCACATATCCTTTCATTAACATTTTTGTTTAATAAAAAACAGGTAAAGGTTAGGAACACATGCCTTACTTTAGGAATGGGAATAATCTGCTCATTCCTTTTTTTTTTCTCCTGAATTCAAAATCACTACCTCTATCATATAACCGGCAGCACATTTTGTCCAAACTTTTTTGTAGTCCTAGGGGAACCATTGCCTTCAGTCAACATTTACAGTGAGTTAGCCGGATCTAAATGAAAATGAGATCTCGATCTTGGCATGGAAAACCTATATTGGTGCATCACTATCCAAAGCCAAAATCCATAAATAGAATTTCAGGAGGTTTGTATACTCCTTTGGTCAAGCTTTAAATTTAGGTCCAATTAAAAAAAATATTTTTCTTCTTTTGTTCTCCTTTGTACTTTTTTAAACAACGTAATAATCCTAAAGTTAATGCTTTTAAGTATCCATTTACCAGAGGTTAGCTGATGCTGTTTTGCCCTTTACTCAGTTTAGTGACCTTGATGTTATAATGCTGCAACTCTTCTAAACATTTGACCTAATTAAGTGATTCTGACATCCTTTGAGGATGTGGGCAGGAGGGAGTGATGGGTATTACAAAAACAGGCACTTGTATTTATATACTTGGCAATATGCTTGAGGGTTTTTTTTTGTTTTTTGTTTTTTTTAACAAACTGGTTTACCATTGTGATGGGAAGAATCTTTGAGAATTCACATAGGCTTCACTTGATGTGTTGTCTGACATATTATGGACGTGTATTTATTCTAAAACCTAAAAAATATATAACTTTAAAGGGGATCCATTAAAAGGCAATTGTTAAAAAAAAAATCTTCTTTCAAGTAGTGCTTCCTCAAAGATTTTTGTCATAGATGGTCAGTTAAATATAAGCAATCTTATAATTTTAAGATGATAGAACTCAGCTAAATTTTAGTAACTAAAGATTTGACCAAAAATATGTTAACCTTGTGTCATTTGAGAGCAGGGCTATGAAGGAATGCCAGACATTGGAAGACAAAACATATTTAAAAAAAATAAGTCACATTAAAAATTACATAAAATATTTCAATGTTGCAACAACATCTTTAAGATTATACGTAAAACATATAACTAACATAATATCCCCATATTGTGCCTCTACTCCACTGAGGGCTTTAATGTCAGTATACAGGCTTTTATTTTCTTGTTTTAAATTAAAGAAAGGTGTCCACTATTTTTAACTTGACCAATGCATTTACATGTACACCTACGGCGCAGTGTATTTGGCATTTTTTCGAGTCAGAACTTAAACTCAAAGATCGTCCTTGTAATGATGTCTTACCTATAGCTTACCCTCCTTTACATTCTCCAGTCGAGCACAGCGTGGCGAGGCCGCTCTGCCTGTTGAGAAACTGTCACAAATGCCCCCTTCAGCACAGCTTGGAAAACAGGGACTTAGAGATTGCCTTGCAATCACAGTAGGCAAGACAAACACTGTGTGCTTCTCTCGGTGCATGAAATGAAAAGATGGATTTGGCTCTTTCAGCTCTGTAAGAGTGTCCCACTCTGCAGCAGTGTTGAAAGGGGGGTGGGGACGCACCTAGTTTTGACTGAAAGTAAAAATAAAAAAAAAAGACACAACTGTTACATTGAGAACTATTAGATTCAGACACACTACAATAGAACCTGGGATGAATCACTATCATCTCCTGCTCCATTCACACCAAGAACAAATGAAACATCTTGTTGTTGCACAGTGCTGATAATGGAATTTCTTTTTTTTTTTTACACAAAAAGTGGTTGTTAGTCTAATTAGTTTGAAATTCATTTATTTCAGCATAGTTGTGACCAGTTTGCTTTGAATTCCAAGTGGTGAGTAGTGGTTATCTCTGAATGAATTAAAAGCATTTCTGGAGTTCAATGTTTGAATGGCATTGTCTCCAATAAATGCTTCCTCTCGGTGTTTCCCTACTTATCACTCGTGTCCATCTAACATTGAGCCGGTCGACCTGGCCTGGCTGTTGTGTCAGAAAACCGCTGATCAGACACTAAGAGCAGCTTGAGGAATTTGACAACAACGTTGTACTTCTTTCTTTTTTCAGCTTTTTTCCTTAAGGAAAAAAAAAAAAAAACATCTAAATACTCGGGATCTCATGCAGCGACCTCGGTGGCAGATAAGCATCACCAAGCTCAAACAGCTCAAGGTTGTTTGTAATGTATAGCCTATTTAAAAGTTGATAGTGATGTCAAAGGCACAGATATGTCCACACACTAATGCAGGTAAAAGTGCTTTCAGGAGCTAATTAAGTGAGATAGCGAGATACGATCGCACGAAGCGTATGTAAGTAACTTTGCGTTTTAAACGTGCATTGGTTGGGACAAAAATCAGGATGAGCGCAGTCATTTAGTGCTCAAGTTAACCAGCAGATAGTTTTCATCTTTACTCTTTAATGTTCCACATGAACTACAGCAAAACTGCATTTTCAGGATTAATGTTCAGCTATATTGTAGAGTCGTATAGTTAGAGGGTGGTGTGGAGCAATCGATGGAATGAAAAATGAATTACTAAAGACAGGCAGATTTTTCTATTGTTCCTTCTTAATTGCAAAAAAATGAGTTTCATTTTGTTTTTAATATCCTATTATTGTCCAGACTTCGATATGAACCACTTCAGCACTTCCATTTACCAAGATAAGAAAAAGAACAAATAGGCTATATGAGAATATGGATAATGCTTAGTGAAAGAGTCAGCTAGTGCCTGCAAAATATGTTAGGCCCTTTAATTTCACACATTAAAGCAGGATCTGTCAGACAAATTAATAGTTGTTATCTACCTGTCTGTCTAGTATGTGAAATATTAAACAGTAAAACGGAGGACCTCACTGTCGGTACATACCTTGATGTCCATTAGCTAATCACACATTCATTCACATGCAGATGTATATGCAATTGAAATGCATCTGCATATGAATTGCATTCCTGCCTCATCTTGTGTGTTTGGAATAACTTTGGGTAA